TACATGTACAAAATTTCATTTTGATCTGATTTTAAGAAAAAAAGATTAAAATTCAGATAGTGATATGAATTTTGAAGCACCTGATGAGGATCTTACGGCTGAGAGCTAGTAGCTTATACTATTCATTATAGCTAGTAGCTTAGGAAATTTTGAGTTTTAAAAGTCAAATTGTTAGATTTTGTTAAAATGGATGACTATATTACTTATTTTGATATCATTATAAAATATAAATTCTAAAAGAAAGGTATTGAAAGAGACCATTTACCTTTAGTACAAAGATGTCACAATCATTATTGTCCCTTAATTTCAAAATGGGTGGTAGTAAGAGTGTCATTGAATAGACTCAAAGTTCAGAAAAAAACAAAAAAAATCTTGAACTTCATGACATACCCCAAGTCATCCAATTTGACATCTAATGAGTAAGAATAATTGTGACCTCGTTACCAAGGTAAATGGCCTCTTTGTGTAAAATCCCAATTCTAAAAGCCTATTTGACTACCGCATATTTAATTCACAGACTAAATTTAACACTAGTGGGCTCCTTTGCCTCAAAAGTGGCAACAGTAATGGCAACACGAGAGACAAGGAGAGGAAATGAGAGTGTGACCAACAACCTCTCATCATGAAGAAGGTCAGTGCATCATCTGGACGAGCTCAGACTATGTCCATTGGCTAGTAGAGTACGCTTCCTTCTTCTTCTTTCTTTTTTTTTTTTTTTCTTCTTTTTTTGTCTTTTTCTTCTTTTTTTTTCCATTTGAACATTCATAGGCTAGTGGAGTATTGATCATATATCCCGACCAATGTCAGAAAATCCTTCTTTTTTTAGACACATATGCACACAGGATTCGAACCCGGAAAGCCACAAGCTGCTCCCAACTAAGCCATTCAAGAATGGTGATGTAGATTTTACACAATGCATAACATATGATGTTATATGTTTACTTTCCGATATTTTTTTAGATCAGCAATCTGGCAACCGATATGGGATCGAAGGTGGGATGATCCGCTACACTGATCCATTTTTTAAAAAATTGTTTTTTTCCGATTGGTGAAACTCATTTAACTGTTTGCAACTCATTGCAGTCAAGTCGACTAGCAAGCTATCATATTATATTAAAAAAAGGAAATTATCGAAAATCCCACATATTTTTTGGAACACAAAAATAGTCTCCCATATTTTATATTATACACACAAGTCTCATTTTTTTCTCCAAGTTTTCTTTTTATTTAAATTAACTTTGGTGAAGTTCTGAACCTGTCCCTAGCTGGCAGCTTCAAGTTTCCGTATCGGTCCTTTTTGTTAGGTTTATGTGGACTTTAAAGGCCTTATGGATGCTTGTAAAATGAAATAATATAGTGGAACATGAACTCAGTGGGAGTGTAGTCCATCGTAGACCATACTAAGCAAACGATGTTTGCGGATACCGAACTATGTTTAACTATCTAGGGCAATCGGTTGAAAAACCCAAGGTATCTGGGCATAAAGAATAAACCAAGAAGGGTTTTGGGTTATCCCTTGATGAGGTCGGAGCTTATACCTGGATGAATGAGCTGATGGATTGTGTGTTCCTTGTGTGTGATGGTAGACCTACAGAGACGGGGTTCAAAACCTTATACATGATCCATCACACGGCATGCATATTGATAGATCGTTCCGGAAAGCCAGATATCCACCTTTTAAGATGAAACGTATGCATGTACGAGAGATACCCTTATGCGTCATAGAGCTATGGTCGCATAAGGTCTTGGTGACCTTGACTCGTCTCTAGAGGAGGACATGAAATCCATAGACTAGGATTGCGACCCATTGGCTCATCGGTCAAACTTTGGTGACCCGCTAAGGAGCCCCTACTTGGACTGTGGGTCATGGGAAATACTGGGTTGGTCTGATAAAGCAAGTGTGATCTGTAGTCTACAGTTGAAGGTGGAGTGGCCTATGATTGTTAATTCATGTCCTAAACCATATGGATCAATTTTCCATTATATTAATTTAATCATGTTTGTTCCATCATAGAAATTGTTTTAGAATTAATATTTGAATTTTTATGAGTCTTTTGATATTTTATTTATATTTTTTGGACTTATAAAACTAAAGTTAGTGATTTTACAAAAGTATAAAATTCAAATAATATTTTAGAAATTAATTTGTTAAATATCATGGGGGCCCATAGTATACATGGGCCCACCATGTACCATGTGGGTGGGGCCCACACGTGCCACACATGGGTGACAAGCCCCACCTCTTGGTTGTTTGCTTTGTTGTCAAATTATTCAAATTTAGGAAAGATATCTTGTGGCATGTGATTTACTATTAGATATGAAAAAGATTGATCACATATTATCCTAAATATTGAAAGCATATCTATCCTAAATATTGAAAGCATATCTTGACTTGACATATTTTTGAATGGTACGAGAAAGAATATGCTATTTTATGGAATGAATAATATTTAAATAAGATTCAACATATTTAAATATATTGATGGGAAAATGGTTTAAGGAAAGGGGGATAATGGTCCAAACACCTTCCATAGTATTGATGGCCCATTTATGAAATGGAAGGCTCAGATCTCTCATTCCACAAGTCACCTTGATCAACGGTCCATATTCAATCTCAAGAAAGAGGCAAACTTTGAGAAACCTTAAAAAACTTTAAACTTAATTTTTCTCTTTAAATAAGGGTGCATCCTCTCCATATTCTTTACACCTTTCTCTCTCTCACAACTCTCTCTCCTCTCTCTCTAATAAAGACATGCCCCACTCTCTCTCCTCTAGGTCTCTCTCTCTCTCTAACTTTCTCTCTTTAACCTTCCCTCTCCTAAGCCTCTAGAGGGGCACGGCCCAACCCTAAGTCTCTCACTTTCTCTCTCATGCTTTAAAAATACTAAGGGTTAAGAAATTAGGGGTAAGTCAACAAAATTTTGGGGGTTAGAGTTTTTAGAAATTTAAGGGTAAATACTCAGTTTGGTTGAAATCTGCTTTCCCAGTTTGAGATTGAAGCTAAACCGTTGATCCCGTGCCATTGGATATTGGTGACCCGGTCTGGGGTGTAATAGGCCCGGTTGAGGTAATCTCCGGCACTCTTTTTTTTTTGTTTCTTGCTATATTTATTTATATTGGTTTTATATTCTCAAGCATAAGAATTGTGAATATTTTCTTTGTTTAAAGAAAATTGGTTTTACGGCATCAAGGTTTTTAAGATCTTGGATTTGTTAGTTTTATTTTCTTTTAAGCAAGAATTATTGTAATAAGACTTTTTATAAGGCATATTTGCCAAAAGAAAAGAAAAATAAAAATAAAAAGGGTGAAAAGAATAAAAATAAATAATATATATTCCCCTGCAAGATCGCATTAGTCTTTCTTTCATTAGTATCAGAGCTATTGATACTTGATGTCATTAGTTATCTTTTTCTCTTTACTGAGTCTAAATCAAGATTGGGAATGAGATATATGAAAGCTAATGAAGTTAATGACTTTTATGGTCAAGTAATATACCCACAGTTAAGAATTATTGGAATATTCAGACACCGAAAAGGCACTCTGCATAATGGGTTTTCTAGACTATTTTGGAGCAGTGATATAAAGAAGATAATGATGTATTTTTCAATTGCATACTTTAGTAATGTTGTGTGTCTTTGAGAGTAGGATCTACCTACAAAATTTCAGTGGGAGATCCTAAGAAAGTTATTGATTCATCAATAAAGGGTGTCAGTTCTGACTCTGCAAAATCCAAGAACTGTCTTATGAGTTCCGTGATCTTTCCTACTAATGATATGAATTTATTTCTTGCTGAAATTTTGTAGTGACTCATAAAATTGAGTATACTTTCAAACAAAAAAAAAGTTTCATCAATAAATTCGTTGTGGTTTAAAATATATGATCGATTTATTGAAGGGTGCGCAAGTACTGTTTTCTACAACGAAAATTATTTCCATGACTTGGAGTCAAGATTTTATTTCTACTCTTAACAGAATGTTTTATGGCTCACACTAAGTTTTTCGACTTTCATTCTAAGTCTAGTTTCTAATAAAATTTATTTGAGAGAGAAAAATCTATGGAAAAAAAGGAATATAAATTTTGGATTGAAGAGAGGTCATCTTAAATTTTCTGCAATTTGGTATGGCCTTCATTAAAGACATGAATATCTATATTTATCAAGCCTACTTAAAAGAGTGATATAACGCTTGTGGAAATATATATGTTACTATTATGTGTCTACTTTCAAAAAAAATTGGTTTAAAAGGGAAACTCCATGATGGTAGAGAAAAAATACAACTTTATTAAATAGTATTCATCCTGAAATTCTGCAGTTTTTATTTATTTTGTGATGTAAATGTCACTTATTTATTTCTTCGAAGAAAAGTATTATTTGGGATTCACACTATGATGTTATGATTTGGTTTTGAGTCTAGTTTTCAACACAAAAGATTTCAAGAATAAATTCTTTGAGGGTTGAGAGAAACAAATTTTTATTGAGAGGTGCTCAACCTGATTTTCA